CCACCTGCCTCTGCTTCCTGAGTGCTGGGATTAAAGGTGTGTGCTACCACCAGTTCAGCCATGCCCAGCCTTTAAAATATCTTTATTAATTTTATGTTGATTAATTTAAATATTTTATTGTGTGTTTAGGTAGTTTGCATACATGTATTTCTGTGTGCCACTCAAAGGCCTTGTGCCTATGAAGGCCAGAAGGAGTTACAGAAAGTTGTAAGCTACCATGGTGCTGGGGATTAGACCAGGACCTTTGAAAGAACAGCCAGTGCTCTGAACTGCTGAACCATCTCCAGCCCCTAAAGAGTATTATTTTTGGTGGTATTGTTTTTGTTTTTGAAGAAGGGATTTCTCTGAGTAGCCTTAGCTGTCCTGGAACTTGATCTGTAGACCAGGCTGGCCTTGAACTCAGAGATGTGCCTGCCTCTGCCTCCTGAGTGCTGGGATTAAAGGCGTGTGCCACCACTGCCTAGCATAATAATGTACTTTAATTTTTTTTTCCTTAAGCATCCCATTACTTTCTACAATTCCTCTCTTTGGGAGCAATAAGGGAAAATCTCATCTTAGCCACTAGCTCTGAAGCCACACCAGGTCTGGAGACTAGACACCGCGAAGCCCTTTATTCTCACATCTGAGAACCCTGCCTTCCTCCGTCACAGGGCATTCTTTGCCTCTACTCCTCCTCCCCGGAATCCTGGAGCTTTCCTTCATAACTGCTCCATGTTAGGCATTCTGTTGCAGCAACACAAAAGCAAGCTAATGCAAACCCTAAAACTACAATGCACGGATCATCACAAATAGCTTGGCTGGTGAAGCCCATCTGCTGCCAAGTCTGATGGCTGAGTTTGATCCCCAGCTCTCACATGGCAGGAGAAGGCAACGGAGTTCTGCTGCCTTTGTCGCTTGTCTTCTGACCTCTCTGCATAATGACACGTCCTTCTTTCACATGGGTCCCAGAGATCACACTCGGGTCAGTGGGCCTGGCGGCAAGCGCCTTCGCCTGCTGAGCTGTCTTGCCATAGATAGCCTCAACATGTTTTTGAAAGGGCGGGGCTACAGCAGAGTAGAGCGCTTGCCTGGCATGTGCAAGGCCATAGGTTCAATCCCCATTATAGAAACAAACAAACAAAAAAACACGGAAAGATGTCCATC